GAGGAAAATAAATGGGGCTCAGAGCCTCAGGATACTGAAATCTGTATTTTTTAAATCTTTTTTTCCTTCTAATTTGTTATTCTTTTCAAAATAACACACTGTTATTTACTCACCAATAACACACAATTATCCTTGCTTTTATTTATTGGTTTAATTCCATAATCTCTGGCTTATTTGGCGTCCGTCAGGAACTGAATTTCAAAATAAAAATAACCGGAAACAGACGTAGGCCTATAAGGGACATTTTCGAGCATCATTGCGATTGTCAACATTTCTGAGTTTAGGATGGCCGAAGACACTACACTACCCATAATCCCCAGCTATCGTTTAGGACTACAGGCCCCGTGATTAATATTCAAGCTCTGGGATTGGATGTTGGAGTGGCAGCGCCAAGGTTATTTGAGTTACTGTTGCCTTTCTATCATCTTGAACCAGTCTGGCCTTTCTCCTCTGACCCCTGGCATCAACAAGGCATCTTCTCCCAGAGAACTGCCGCTGACTGGATATTTCCTCTTTTTTTGACCTTTCTCTGATGGTTGTGTGTGAAAATTCCAGTAGATCAGCAGTTTCTGAAATACTCAGACCAGCCCGTCTGGCACCAACAACCATGCCACGTTCAAAGTCACTTAAATCACCTTTCTTCTCCGTTACTTCACCAGGTCATCTTGACCATCTCTGCATGCCTAAATGCATTGCTGCCGTGAGATTGGCTGATTAGATATTTGCGTTAACGAGCAGTTGAACAGGTGTACCTAAATAAAGTGGAAAATGAAACGGGATATTTAAAAAAAAGAAATAGTTTTCTTCTAAAACCCAAAGAAATTCAACTTAATATCTAATAAAACAAAGAAAATGGGAATTTCCATATTTAAGCTGCTGAAAACAGCATTGTTTTTCCATTGTCATAAGATAAAAAAGTCTCTTAAACAATTTATCGTGTTTCTTCTGTTCGATTGGTGAACAAATTAGTTGACTAATTGTTGCAGCAGTGATGTTTGAACTGTATACATGAAAATACAATGAGCCATTAATGCAAACACTAATGCAACACAATGAGCTCTACCTGCTCTTTGATCCACGATGAACCACGTTCCTTTACATCATTTTCTCGATGTTGTACATTCATAAACTATTCTCTCCCGAGCCTCAGATCTTGACACCGTTCGGGCTCAGAGGATGAGCCCTCACACAGAATAACTAACGCAGGAACCAGCAGCTCTGAAAACACGGGAGTAATACAGGAACCATGTCTTTTCATTTCTCTCTGGCTTAGTCTTACTTTGATCTGTTAGATGTACACAGTATCCCGCTGTAATGCACCATTCACATCACTTTATCCACTTTATTTACCAGCGCTGACTCAGTGAAGTAATGTTGTAGTAATGCTCAGGAAAAATAAATGTTTCGCTAAACACAGTGTGTTGCTGTGCAAAGGAGAGTTAGAGGGGTACCTTTATGATTTATGGGTTTTCCATCTCCTATAGTGTGTTATAGGTTTTAGTGCATGTGAAGGGTCTACAAAGGCTCAAATCCCTGTGTTCCCTACAGAGGGAGTTTTCTCTCCCACACATTAGACTCCTTTGTTTACTTCTGGAACAAAGTGACATCACTATGTAATACTTTCGCTTTTATTTGCTAGCGCTCAAACCTATTGTACATGATAGGCTAAGGGTTGGGACATCTCTAAGCCATTGACCATTCACAACAGAGCCAGCCAGCTAACCAATCAGAGCAGACTGGGCTCTGGTTTAAGACAGAGGGTGAAAAGATGTGCTGCAGCACAGACAGTGTGAGAAAAATAAAGAGCTTTTTGAACATTGAAGCATGGAGACATGTCACAGTAGAGACACTACATACTGATATACACCTGAACATCAGCAGGAGAGGACTCTTTAAAGTAGAGACACTACATACTGATATACACCTGAACATCAGCAGGAGAGGACTCTTTAAAGTAGAGACACTACATACTGATATACACCTGAACATCAGCAGGAGAGGACTCTTTAAAGTAGAGACACTACATACTGATATACACCTGAACATCAGCAGGAGAGGACCCTTTAAAGTAGAGACACTACATACTGATATACACCTGAACATCAGCAGGAGAGGACTCTTTAAAGTAGAGACACTACATACTGATATACACCTGAACATCAGCAGGAGAGGACCCTTTAAAGTAGAGACACTACATACTGATATACACCTGAACATCAGCAGGAGAGGACTCTTTAAAGTAGAGACACTACATACTGATATACACCTGAACATCAGCAGGAGGGGACTCTTTAAAGTAGAGACACTACATACTGATATACACCTGAACATCAGCAGGAGAGGACCCTTTAAAGTAGAGACACTACATACTGTTATACACCTGAACATCAGCAGGAGAGGACTCTTTAAAGTAGAGACACTACATACTGATATACACCTGAACATCAGCAGGAGAGGACCCTTTAAAGTAGAGACACTACATACTGATATACACCTGAACATCAGCAGGAGAGGACTCTTTAAAGTAGAGACACTACATACTGATATACACCTGAACATCAGCAGGAGAGGACCCTTTAAAGTAGAGACACTACATACTGTTATACACCTGAACATCAGCAGGAGAGGACTCTTTAAAGTAGAGACACTACATACTGATATACACCTGAACATCAGCAGGAGAGGACCCTTTAAAGTAGAGACACTACATACTGATATACACCTGAACATCAGCAGGAGAGGACCCTTTAAAGTAGAGACACTACATACTGATATACACCTGAACATCAGCAGGAGAGGACTCTTTAAAGTAGAGACACTACATACTGATATACACCTGAACATCAGCAGGAGAGGACTCTTTAAAGTAGACACACTACACACTGATATACACCTGAACATCAGCAGGAGAGTACTCTTTAAAGTAGAGACACTACATACTGATATACACTTGAACATCAGCAGGAGAGGACTCTTTAAAGTAGAGACACTACATACTGATATACACCTGAACATCAGCAGGAGAGGACTCTTTAAAGTAGAGACACTACATACTGATATACACCTGAACATCAGCAGGAGAGGACTCTTTAAAGTAGAGAAACTACATGTTGATATACACCTGAACATCAGCAGGAGAGGACTCTTTAAAGTAGAGACACTACATACTGATATACACCTGAACATCAGCAGGAGAGGACTCTTTAAAGTAGAGACACTACATACTGATATACACCTGAACATCAGCAGGAGAGGACTCTTTAAAGTAGAGAAACTACATGCTCATATACACCTGGACATCAGCAGGAGGGGACTATTTAAAGTAGAGACACTACATTATACACCTGAACATCAGCAGGAGAGGACTCTTTAAAGTAGAGAAACTACATGCTCATATACACCTGCACATCAGCAGGAGGGGACTATTTAAAGTAGAGACACTACATACTGATATACACCTGAACATCAGCAGGAGAGGACTCTTTAAAGTAGAGACACTACATACTGATATACAGCTGAACATCAGCAGGAGAGGACTCTTTAAAGTAGAGACACTACATACTGATATACAGCTGAACATCAGCAGGAGAGGACTCTTTAAAGTAGAGACACTACATACTGATATACACCTGGACATCAGCAGGAGAGGACTCTTTAAAGTAGAGACACTACATACTGATATACACCTGAACATCAGCAGGAGAGGACTCTTTAAAGTAGAGACACTACATACTGATATACACCTGAACATCAGCAGGAGAGGACTCTTTAAAGTAGAGACACTACATACTGATATACAGCTGAACTTCAGCAGGAGAGGACTCTTTAAAGTAGAGACACTACATACTGATATACACCTGAACATCAGCAGGAGAGGACTCTTTAAAGTAGAGACACTACATACTGATATACAGCTGAACATCAGCAGGAGAGGACTCTTTAAAGTAGAGACACTACATACTGATATACACCTGGACATCAGCAGGAGAGGACTCTTTAAAGTAGAGACACTACATACTGATATACACCTGAACATCAGCAGGAGAGGACTCTTTAAAGTATAGACACTACATACTGATATACACCTGAACATCAGCAGGAGAGGACTCTTTAAAGTAGAGACACTACATACTGATATACAGCTGAACATCAGCAGGAGAGGACTCTTTAAAGTAGAGACACTACATACTGATATACACCTGAACATCAGCAGGAGAGGACTCTTTAAAGTAGAGACACTACATACTGATATACACCTGAACATCAGCAGGAGAGGACTCTTTAAAGTAGAGACACTACATACTGATATACACCTGAACATCAGCAGGAGAGGACTCTTTAAAGTAGAGACACTACATACTGATATACACCTGAACATCAGCAGGAGAGGACTCTTTAAAGTAGAGACACTACATACTGATATACACCTGAACATCAGCAGGAGAGGACTCTTTAAAGTAGAGACACTACATACTGATATACACCTGAACATCAGCAGGAGAGGACTCTTTAAAGTAGAGACACTACATACTGATATACACCTGAAAATGAACAAAATATGTCCTCTTTAAAAATGAGAAAAATCATCAATCAATAGTCTCTAAGGACTGCAGGGAATCAATATTATATTTATCCAACAATGGAAAATAAATGTATGTAGACCATCACTAACGCTGTGTTTGCAAGTGTCATTTAGATATAAAAGCGCTTTGCAACTTTTATCAGAATAAAATCCTTTATATTCTCTTGACAGGAAAGCAGTTCTTTGTGATTGTCAGACAGGCTGCTGGAATAGTCTGTTTGTAATCATGAACATTCAACACCATGTCAAAAGTGAAGGAAATATGATAAATGGATAACTTGCTCTATTTTCTTTTTACGCCACTGGAAACATTTTTAAAATGATGATGGAATAAGAAAAGAACAAGCAAGAAGGCAAATAACAGTCATATTTACTGCAAGGTTTACACTCAGTGTAATAAACTGCTCATTTAGAATAGTTGTAAATGTCATTCTTTATAATTTATTGTAACTCCAAACAAAAATAATTTCTACAAAAAATATTCAAATAATGTCATATAATAGTGATACGTGGTCGATATCTTTTTCTCTCTCTTTTAAACTTCTGATAAGTTAAATTCTGTTAAATTCTGCTTCCTGAATACTGTGTGAAGATTAAATCTCGCTAAGTGTGGCAACAATCACTCATTCCTATAACATCCACAATAGTGACTAAATTCTTTTTTTATAATTTGTAACCCCCTGGATATAATATAATAAGTATAATCTCAGCGACTGTCAGTGGGCACATTAGATACAATGACTCAAGATATAATTATTAAAAAAAGAAAAGCAGCAGAAATAGAATAAATGTAAAATCAAGTCTCATCTTCTGAGAGGAAATGAAACCTGGTTAATATACTATGTAGGCCTCAGCAGCGGGATCGAACGCCGTCGAGTGTTCCCACACACACACGTCGGCCGTCAGTCAGACGGAGGTGTCATCCAACCAAGGAAAAAGGACAAAAGAAAAGGTCCACATGTGTGTAACAGCCATTCCCTTAGAAGTGAAACAGTGGTGACTTAAGTGTTTATGCTTTTTGGTTTGATGCGCATTGCTCCAGCTCAGGAATAAAGGGAACAGTGGTTGGTATGATTCCCCCCCCCTCTTTCCGTCTGCATCTTTTTTCTCTGAGGTCGCTCCTCTTTTTTCCTCACACCTGAGCACACACTCGGTATCATAACAGTCCTGTGAGGTGTGCGTGTGTGTATTTATGTGTTTGAAAGGGGCTAGTTCGTGTTGTGTGAGTGAGCTCTTTGCGAGTGCTGCCGTGTGTGTTCAACGCGTCCAGGCGGCCCTTCAGACCCCTGGCCTGGCGTACACACACATAAACACACACTCCCTGGTCCAAGGGGGTTTGGTGGCTCAGTGGGGCGTTAACGTGTTCAGCAGGTTTGCTAGCAGAGTGCAGAGCAGCAGGGCGGCCGTGCTGAGGTGCAGGGGGGGGGCGGCGCTGCAGTCTTTGCCTGCCTCGCAGCGGGACTGTTGGCACAGGACCCCCTTAAACTCTGGAGGACAGATGCACTTCTGGTTCTGGTTGCATGTTCCTCCGTTCTGGCACAGGAGCATCTCCTCGTCACAAACGTTAGCTGAGAGGGAGCAGACAGAGAGAGGATCAGGATCAGAATACCTTTGTTCGTCCCACAGAGGGGACATTTACATTGTTACAGCTAAAGTGAAGATGGAGACAAACAATGAAACACTATTAGATAAAGGACATGCACATAACATTTAAAATGTTATGTATTTTTCCTTGTATCGTGTCTTGATCTGACAATAAAGAATTAATCGTATCGTGGTTAAGGGTTTGCAGACGTAAGGCGAATGAGAGAGGAGTTGGGAATAAAGAGGGCACGGCAAAGTGACAGGCGGTGAAACGATAGCGTGGGCGTAAAGAGCACAACAGAAAGATGTATGGCAAAGAGAAAGACAGGTGAGGGGAGATAAGGAGGGGTAATGTCAGAAAGAGCATGATGGGAAACAGAGATACTTGGGGAGGGGAGGAATCCAGGGCAAAAATAACAAAGTAGAAAATAAAGCGGGAGGAAGGGAAGAGGCAAGATGAATTCTCCAGTCTTTGCCTCAGGGACAACAACAGGTAACACCTGCCTTTTTTGTTTTTGCAGCCCTTTTCTCTGTCTGTTTTTCTTGAGCCTGCAGTTTCTCAGGGTCAAGTAACAAATCCTTGTCTCAAAGCCAGCAGAAAATACACTGCACATGCTATATTTGCTAAGTAATGATCGGAGAAAGGAATAGCATCATTACAATTCTATAAAAGGCATTAGGGGGAAACACAGAGGTACTGCAAGAGATACTTGGCCTGAACATTTTCTGTGAGAAAGAAGAGGGGATCAGGCTTTTATGAAAATAAATAATTACATGAGCAAATATCTTATCGCTAAGATAATTAACTATTTGGAGTAACATGTCAAATCTAAAACATACTGTGATACTACATGTCCCTTATTGTAATACATAAACAAGACTTGCATGCCTGTGGAGTTTGAATGTGTGTGTGTGTGTTTGGTTGTGAGTGTGTGTGTGTGTTTGGTGTGTGTGTGTGTGTGTGTGTGTGTGTGTGTGTGTGTGTGTGTGTGTGTGTGTGTGTGTGTGTGTGTGTGTGTAGGGTATGTGGGAGATGGTGGATGATAGAGGAAGGCCATTCCCTGTAATGGGGTTAAGGAGTGACAGGGTCATCAATTAAAGGGGTAGCTGATGCTACTAATGAGCTCCATGATCTATTCCCCCGGGAGGAAAGAGAACATGGGAGGATGCCGAGCTGCAGCCTGTGGCACCGCAACTTCCTGTAAGGCTACTCTGTTGTTCTCCTCTGGATTTCTATAGAGTTGTGAAGTGCCCAATAAAATCATGCCTTGTTTTTTGGTATCCGGCAGCTTATCCAAATACCTTCACCCTAAACACTGCACTTCCTCGGGTCCTGAGCAAAACATCTGCCAATTGTGATGTTGATCGGATGAGCCATTGTTGAGGAAAATGACTAATCAATACGTCCCGTACATCTCCGGTCTCTGTCTTCCTCTGTTCTTCACTAATCTGTAGTGAGAGCTTTACCCAGCATGCTGTTCAGCCTTGTAAAAAAAAAACCTGTCTTATTTTTATTGATACCAATGCTACTATCAATTCTGTTTATCGGTCTAATTTATTGATTGTCTTATTGATTCATAATGAGTTTTCTGTATGGAAAAAATAAGTATGCCTGCACAGGATTTATGATATGAGTCTGAACACAGTTTAGAGTGTCTGTATAACATTTTAACATGTCAAACTAATGGGAGCAGGGGGCCACGTCTCTCCCTGCAGTTAGAGAGGACACATAGAGCGCTAGGAGTCCAGCTAGGACGAATACGTGTTTTATTATGACAGTTACGTTGAGGTAATTCATGAAAAACACTGCTATTTCTTGATGCAAGTTTCCAGCAGGGTAGATGCAGAGTTTGACACCATGATGCATTAGTTAATGCAAAGCTTATCCGTCAAAAGACATGCCACAAATGTAAAATCAGATCATTCTTTTTTGACTCAAACAGGACATATCAGGAAGCCTGGGGGACCTTTCTTACATGCATTCAATACTCTGTAAAACAATCTGTTATTGGTATAGTTATCTGAAGTATATATATTAATTTAATCAAATTCCTTGATCCAAATGAAATCAAAGTATAGATGTGACAGAGACTCACAGTAACAGCCTTGTTTCCAGTAGTATCCGGGCAGACAGTCGTCACACTTGGCCCCCGCGGCTCCGTCTTTACACTGGCAGTAGCCCGTGCCGTTACACCGGTCATGAACAGAACCCATCTGGTTGCAGTTGCACTCTGAAAGAGGAGGGATAAGGAGAGATTTGAAATTCAGATTTGACCTAGAGTTGAATTAAGTTCTGCCTGAACGTGTGCATTTGTATTCAGACCACAGATCTGTCTCTGTATTGATGCCTTTCAGAGCAGCAGCACTGTGTGTCAGGTGGATGAGCATCAAAGTACAAAGGCAGACTCCTGCAGATATTCAGATCTGAAATGAAGGCTCTTTTTTAGCAAGATTTGTTTTGCTTTTTTAAAACCATGCATCTGTTTTCTTCCATAGAACTCCCAGATAATGTGATATGGTGTCTGGAGATATAAACTACTGTAATTTAAAGCATTTTTAAAGCTGTTATTTAATCTTACAGACAGACTTTGGAAGAGACTAACAGAAAATGAAATGACAGAGGGGTTTTTGTGACATATCATCTGTTGTTTGGGAAACGTATCCCATCTAAACAGAACTGCAGGTTATTTTGATCGCAGGATATCTGCTTTCAAAGGCAGGTAGAATACGTGCAGGGAACATGGCAGTGTTTGAGTAGTTTAGGGAGATGCTGACGTCTTTTTTTGTTGTGCTGCATAATTAAACCACCTCAAGGTTCCCTCTGTTGACATTCATATGATGTTTGATAGCTTAAAAAACACAACTTACTCACATTTCATCTCCGAAACGCTTTACTACCAATAACACATTGGTACAAATGTTTTTCTTGCCTTGAAATGCTAACTACTTAATGCGATTCACACTTTAAAAGAAGATGACATTGAATTGTAAAGCATCATTTGTATTTCGTGCAAGTTGTGCATCGTTATACATATATTAATAGATGCTGACTGATATCCAGATCAGTGGTAGCAGATCAGAGGTGGTGAAAAACTGCAGAGCTGCACATTTGCATTGCATGTGTCAGTTTGTGATGAATCAAGGGTTTATCTCATAGCCTGATGTTAGCCCATAGCTTGTCTTCCACTGTCAAATTACCTCATTTGTAATCAAGTTTAATATCAAATATTAATTGAAGTGAAACAGATTACGCAACCACGCAATGCAGATGCGATCCGTGTGTTTGTGGGTCAGGATATTGGGATTGCATGTGAGCCGCTGAGTGAATGCGTAGCTGTTTACAAATGCATTAGTGTTTGGGAGGCCCTGCTTTCTCGCTCTAGAGACGCGCAGTGTGAACTGATTTCTGCTGCCATGCTCGCTGTGTGCCAATGAGCTTGCAGATCAGCTAATGGGGACTTATTTGTGCTGACTCCAAGGCCTGGCCCTGCGCGCCTCAAACACCACGGCTTTACCCTCCAACCCCCTGCAGTCCACCTCCAGACGGATCCAAGTCAACACCAGATTTGAGCTCCACAGCTATGCAAACACACTGACCTCTTTTTAGGACATGCCTTGAGTTTAAAAACAGTAAATACAATGTGACAGTATTAAAACCATAAAGTGTTTATGTACAGTCAGAAATAATATTATCAGCTATTTTATTGTTTTTGCTCACTTGCATCTCAGCACATTGCATTCCAAATGTTTAAGTGATGAATTTGAGCTTTAAGGGCGCCTGAGGGTGTTTGCATTGGTATTAGTCAAACATTGTTGGACTTCTAAACCTTTTTATACTCACAGTATTACCCTCAGATTCAGGACTATGCTGCAGGGCAGTGAGCCTAGACATGGTTTTTTTCAAGTGAAGATCTGAAAGAGCATCTTCTGGGATCACACATTTCAGCTCATATCTGACTATTACAGATTTGTTACAGCATGGTACCTTACCTTACATAACTTTATTGAAATCTGCAGTAAACACATTTTTATCAGTGAGAGTCAAACGATATCACTGTATAACTTTGCTGTTTTTAACGTTTTTCAGCTGCCTATTTAAAAATAAAAAGGATATGAAACAAGCCTTTTTTGTTTATTTAAAATATCTTTAGGCATCTGATGACAAAATGATGTCCATTATGCAATCTTATTTTACCTCAAGTTTCCAACAGCTTATAATACCTGGCACTTTAATGTGTGGTTCCTAGATCCTCCCCGGTGTTTCTCGCACAGCGACTCCCTGTGTCTGTCTGCTGTTTGCTGCTGAGTGTTTATTGAACAGTGGGTTTTTGGAGTGTTTTTACAAAATAAAAGCTGCCTGCTGCATCTGAAAATATGATGAAAGCACTGCGAGTGAAATAAGGTTATCAATTAATCTATCGACCATATTACTGATTATTGATTAAACAAAACTCATAATTTAACCAGCAAAGAAAAATCTAATTGAACATTGTGTTAATTAAAGTTAAAGTTAATTGATTTGTACAAAGTGCATTCTTTGTGAGTAACACTGAATATAAATATGACTTTGGTTTGGAAAGAGAGGAAATGCCACAGGGCACCTTGTTAAATATTTAAAATACAATAATCGTTAACCTTTCACTAAAAGTGGTCTATAAAGGTGTCAGAAAAAGCCTCTGTATATTTGGCAGAACTTTCATTTTTCTAAATAGGATGAACTACTGTGTGCATCTCTTTAAAATGTTACTTCTAAATGACCTTTTTGTGGCTGAAACATCTGAGTTGTTGGTAGAATGTTTTAAGTAGTAGCATACCCTTTCTGTCACACACACACACACACACACACACACACACACACACACACACACACACACACACACACACACACACACACACACACACACACACACACACACACACACACACACACACACACACACACACACACACACACACACACACACACACACACACACACACACACACACACACACACACACACACTCCCTGAGCCCCCTTCAGACTGACCGATGCACACGTTCTCATCATCTAGCTCGGCAGAGGCGTTGCGGAAGTATCCCAGCCTGCAGTGCTGGCAGTTCTGGCCTCGGGTGTTGTGCTTGCAGCTGACGCACGTCACGATGTTCAGGTAGTCGATGTAGCTGCAGCGGTTGGAGTGGCCGTAGCACTCACAGTCTGAGAGAAGAGACACATTTATTTTACTAGGTGATTCAAATACAAAAGCTACAGAGTAGTGGTTGGCAATGTAATTTTATATAATACAATATAAAATGTACTTAAGACATAATAAGAAAAAAAATAACAATTTAAAAATAAAATGCAGCAATGAGCGTACAGTTGTATTATATAGTTATTTATCTTAATGTATTATCATAATTGTTATTATTATGTCTATAAAACAAGGACCATATATAAAACTCACAGATCTCAAAAAGACATTAGCTGATTTATGCCAAAATGTTCTAATTTCCACTTGCAGTTTAATAAAACACACTGTTATGATATAAATGATATTTAATAATTATAAATACAGTATGTGGACTGTAAACAGATATACAGAGATCAAGAGTTGAAGAGTCTGTGGGCAAAAACTGTCCCTGAGTCAGGTGGTCTTTCCTCTGAGGACATGTTTTATATTTGAAGTCACTTTGGAAAGGGTGGTATCTTTTCTTAAGCATTCTCATGGGATTCTTCAGGGACAGCAGGAAATGCACTAACAGATTAGTCTGATGGTTTTAGACGTCACTGAGCAGAGGACTCTGAGTGTGTTTTATGACTCGCCTCTCTGACTCTATATTGGTTCAATAAAGACAGACCCCTCCCTCTCCATTACTACACACAGGTTTGCTGAGTGTGCTTCACTGGGCTGCACTGATTACTGATTACTGATGGGACACATCTATCATCTATCCGTGTGTGTGTGTGTGTATGTGTGTGTGTGTGTATGTGTGTGTGTGTGTGTGTGTGCATGCTTGTTTGTGTAAATGTGAGTACAAGCATGTTAATTGTGTCTGGGAATTTAATTGCATTACCGGGTGAGTAGATTATAATAGAGAATCCTAACCGAGGGAGTTTGAGGGGAGGGATGCAGTACAGTGTTTTCAGCACCTGATAACAGGAAGTCAGTCTGACATCACTTAACCTCCACTCACTCTGCTCTCTGCTCACCATTTGTTCGTCATTTCTCTTTTCAAAAAGCACTGCACAATTAGAGCTCTTAATTACATTTTCTCTTTCGAATTCATGAATCATCTGGGAGGATTGCATTGCAGGTTATATTCTCTTCTAGGATAAATGCGTGATGAATTAAGACTTCCATATTTTACACCCTGAAACCAAGGGTTGAAAAAAGAAGACCTTCTGCATAACAGAGGGAGCAATAACAGCCTGATATAATTGACTGTAGGATCCGCATTGTGCAGAAGAGTGCACCAAGTGTTGCTCCACATTTTCACTACGATTAACTTGGCCCGGCTGGTACCTAATTAAGGTTTTATTAAGCTTTAGAAGTTGGCTGCAATAGTCTGCTGCAAGGCATCACTGTCCTCTAAAGAGGCATTTACCAGGCATGTTTATGCAAATACACATTTAAATGCACATTAAAAAGTCGGAGTTTAGCTGTTTAATCAGCCATCACATTATTATTTTATTATTGTTTGGTTGATGATGCCAGCTGAAATATTAATGAGCTGGTTTAAAGGAAGCCAGTCAGAGCAGCGCCATAAAGTGCCTCTCTCAGCACTGAGGAAGCCACGCCGGCGGTGGGGGAAGAACTGCCTAATTAAATATAAATGGCCGATTACTCCACAGACTAGAATGGCACATTGTTTCACAAATTACCGTTAAGATTCAAGATGCTGCTTTATCGGTTTTTATCAATTGCAAATTGTTAACAGTGAAAGACGGAGTGTGATAGAGCTATCTGCATCAAAGACTCTCTGAGGTTGAAGGAAAAATGGTATATTTAGCTAACAAGCATCCCTTCTCCAAAAAAATCAATAAACAAGGACGGCAACGACTTGATGGTTTAATATGAAAAACTTACCTTGATCGTGCACATACAGCAACCAAGAGGGAATGAGAACGAGTGAAATGAAAAACATAAAGCATGCAATGAAAGGAATCTTTCCACAGGTTTTCTGCTTGGAAAACAGTATCCACACTTAAGGCACAAGAGTTTATTGATCTGAACCTAAAGAGTCCAGAGGATTAAACCAAGCATACATTTCCTCAGGCCCGGTGTCGCTCTCTTACCTCTGAAGGCATTGTATATGATCCCAAACAACTGTCTGGCCTGGGGCTCTCCTGAGATCAAGAGTTTCAGGAGCCCTTGAGGGATGAAGGTATCTTAGTTCAAGATTTGTCTCCACATCATTCACTGCGCCACAGTCAGCTAAAGCATTATACCTTCACACAGCAGGTATGGGTTTGCATCAGTACTACAAAGAGGTCCTGGGTGGAGGGGATTCCCACTAGATTCTACATTAAAGAGGAGGGTTGCTTTGTTCTATGAAGCTGACATAATCTTCACCTCGTGCAGTGTTTCTTAACTGGTTGGACAGATCCCAAAAGTCAGATTTTGTGAGAGTCTGTAAGCAAAGAGCAACTGCAGTGCTGCACATGACTCAGAGTTTTTTCAGCTTCACATTTGAGTTTTGTTAATATCTGTGTGGACATGGAAAGTAGTGTAGCTTGTAGCTTGTTGTCCCTGAACACCCACACTGGTGTTTTCAGTTAATCTGGCTGATTAGACAACTTCTCAGACTGTGTGGGAAGGAATAGACTGTAATTGATTGACATTTTCCTGAGTCTCCTTTTTAGATTATGTGCACATGCTGTTAGGCCTGGAAGAATTACACCTTTATCAATCTTTCTGGTAGGTCTAATCAGCCAGAATAACTGAGAACAACTGTGTGTGGGTGTTCACAGGCTTTAAAGCTAATCTTATAAAAACCACAACATTAAAGTTCATTCTTGACCTTGGAAAGTCACAGTAACAGACCTTGTGGTTAGAAAAAGTGCAGTTCTGGAGCTTTTGATTTCAATACACTGGTACCGGCCTACTGTGTTTTAAAAAATGGACATTGTCTTAACATCATCTGAACAATAAAGAACTGATACCAAACTGGTAAGGGAGAGTGTGTGATAGAAGAGAAATGTTGCATGTTTTTCTTGAAAAAGCTTATAGACCCATTAAACACTGCTGCCAAAAGTGTATGAGATGAATAAAAAATGCCAGTTTATAGATCAAACTGCTTACATGATCAACTGTGAGCTCAAATGATTTGTTTAATAGAGCTATAACCGCAATACTTTGTTGCTTATTAACCTCATCATGATACATTGTGGGCCCCACTGTGCAACCAGTCATGAATCACTCTTCTATAACATCATTTTAAATTCTACCTTTCTGTTTCTGTCTTTCTGTCTCTTCTCTGTCTTCATCCTCTCTCCCAGCAGAGTGTTTTGAGGTCTCCTGACTCCCACTTTCCCACTCAGGTTTGTGGTGCACTACAAAGAATCAACAACTTGCAAATCAATCTGTATTGACGTAGACCAGATTATCTCAGGCTGTTTCACCAAACTAGACAGAACAGCGGCTACTGACAAGACACCAACAGCCAATGATTTGTGAGAAACCTTTGCTAGTATAGATCCTATCTACATCCGTAATTGACCAAAGAAATAGGGTTAGATAATCAAGCCTGTTTAGAATATTAAATATCTGTTCACATCCAAATGTTCTGACTTTCTATAATCCCTTGAACAGACAAGAACTGAGGGTGTTTAAAAAGGTTAACACATTATTTTGACGGCAGAAAGAACATCCATCCATTTCCCACTTCATTATCCTGCTTGCTTGTTATATCCTTCCCTACAGTGTCAATCATTGTCACATATAAAAATATGGCGCTACAGTTGGTACCAAATTAAGATTTTCCTTAGCGAATGTTGACTGACAGGTTATCAGGTAGTTGGAGATAAATTTAGATACAGTTTTAGTTTTTTCACTATGAGCTGCCAGGTTTAACTCACAGTGACAGTTTATCTACAGCATGTTTACAGGTTCACTTCTAATTATAAATCAACAAAAACAATGCCACCTCAACATTAAAAGACACATCTCTATTTTCATCTTTTCTTTCTTCATGTTGCTTTTCTCTCTTGCCACAATGTCTCATGTAGGTGTTCTTTAAATGTATGGGAGACTGAGAAAACCAGAATTGTAATTGACTTAAACCAAAATAGGAGGTACAAAGATTAATGAGATTTCTACCATTACCGATAAGAGATTTTTTTTCGTCGCCATGTGTCTTATGTTGGTGCTCCTAACTTTCACGCCACATTAATCATAAACACAACAAGCAAAGGCAAAATATGCCTAACGGCCCGTCTACACTACAGGCATAAAAAAATCTTGAAGCTGGGCGTGTCTGAGGCTTGGCGATTTCTCGCGCCCAAGGCGACAAACAACCAATCAGGAATCTCCCGCCCGCCCCCGGCATACAAAGCAATAGCAATGTTAAAACGAAGTAAACTGGATATAAAATCCCCAAACAGGCGAAAACCTACCAGTTTCATCCATTGTCTCTGCCACCTCCCTCCATGCCTCGCTCCTCCGGTTTGTATCCCGGTAGATGAACAGAGACTGATCATACAGCACCGGGTGATTCACTACCGCTATAATGAATTTTCCCTCAATTTTTTTGAATATGAGGAAATGACCTGCGTAGTCTCTCCCAGCATACACACGGTTTGATTGGCTAGCGCTTGTACTGTCAGATTTGCATACGCGGGATTTGATTGGTTGATGCCAAGCATCGAGCCTCAAAAGTTGAACATTGTTCAACTTTTGATGCCGATAGATGCTCGTGATGCTTGCAAAGCCATGCCATGCTCCCCACAATGCAGTTCGGCGAAGTTTAAAAATCTTCTACGTCACCCCATTCAAATGAATGGGCGAAGCGTTGAAAGCATTTTTCGATGCCTGTAGTGTAGACGGGCCGTTAGGCATTGAATATGTTTTCATCCTCAACCATCTTTATACTCAGACAATGTTTATCTGAGTTCTTTGGTTCATTTGATTCTTTTTTAAACTGAGATACAAATAATTTGCTCATGTTGGTGCCAAATTAGGATTGCCTACAACCAAGCTACGTATTTGACACAAATAC